GAGGAAAATTGTAGTACTGAGCAAGACCAATGACGTTCAAATAATTGCAGAATGCTTGATATCGACCTATTTCTCAACGTTATCTCGGATCGCGAAGGGTTAATCATTCTTTACTGCCAGCTGTGGCCAGATTCGCTAAAGCAACAGACGTTTTCGCGGCTCGGAAAAATTTAATGGTCGTATTGACGCGGATAATTGTAGTGGATATGGTGCGAATTGTGTGATAATGCATGTTAGGAGAAATCTTTAATGCACCGCTCTTATTAGTCCTTGTTCACACGTAATGTATTTCAGATTGTGTTGCGTGCTAATTTCTTATTAATTATTAAACTTTAAAATACTTTTTACTTAATTGTATTTATGGAATATTTATATAATATTTTTATAAGTTAAAAAATTTAATATACGTATCTCTTTCTTGTGCATAAAATACTTTTTCTTTCCTAAATGAAGAAAAAATGCAGAATTTTTTGCTTTTAACTAGATCGCTCCTGCCATATTTGCTGAAAAAATTTATAAAAACCTAAAGAAAGTCTAAAGAAAAATCTGGAAAAAAATTTTTAATGCCAGTATAACGAAAACGCTTTTATAAGAAAAGCGTAAATAATAAGAAATTCCGCGCAGTTAGATGGCTCATAATTAATCTTCTTCAATTCAATCAGTATTTGATTGAATATCTGGCTGCAATTAAGACTTAAAAGATTTAAACAACGGAATTCATAAACGCTGAATAATTGAATCAATTTTCTACCGGTCAATAATCTTGTTGGCCAATCAACGTCACGTTGAAATTGACTATAGTGCCCACGTCGTTATCGTTTAATTATAATCTCCTAAACGTTGAAGCGTAATTAACGGATTCTCCGAGCATTCCTCCCTCTCCCTCGTTTTCTATCTCCCTTTGTTCTCCCTTTTCGTCGAAAATACAACCCTATCGGAGAAAGCTTCCGATACAGAAACGCTTAGCGGTTGGTACATGAGCAATAAAAGTTGTTGGTCATTGACAAACGGATAACGAATTGCTTGCGTGCTCGCGTAGGAAATGCTCTCGTCATCAGCTATCAGTGAAACGACCTAAGTACTCGTCGGAATGCATGAACAATCATCGCCGAACCATTCTTTGCTCGTGCCCCCGGTCTATAAAATATAAAAAACTTTCTCCCGAGTCGGTATTTTTATTGCGCTACGTATTCGAATTCGAATGGCAAAACATATATATATATATATAGTTGTATATGCAAAATAATCGACACGTCTAAAACGCATAAGATAAAAAGAATTAACAGTCAATAAATATAACCAGATCTATAATCATACTTTGCATGCATTATAAAATCAGATAGTGCTCTGTAAATAAATTTATTTTTAAGAGAAACTCTTGATTGGTCATAAATATCGCTCCGTTATCTCTTTACGCTTTTGATTTGACATTCCGTAAACATTTCCACTCGCATGCCGGAAACTATTAATTAATATGCGCGCAAATTAAACGCCATAAAATTCTCATTAATTCCTCACTCGAGCTGTGCTCGATAACACGAATAATATCGAAGAGGCAGGGAGCCAAAATGTGACGGAATAGAGCTTTGGCGCATGGACGGCGAACAGCCGGAGCTGAATCTCGAAAAAGTCTCATCGACATCCGATCTCTTCTCTCGCGGCAGGCTTGAGTTCGATGTTATTAGGCTTAACGTTCTTTATATATAGAAGCACGTATTTTCGCGAGATAACGCACTCGGGATCCGTCGTGCCGTTACGACGGACGGTCGCATAAAGTGTCGCTTCGCGTCCGTTAATTCTCTTTCGGTGACCTCGAGCAATATCGTGTCCGGCAAGCAAGAACTTTGGACACACTATATTTTATTTCGCCCTATCCCGAATCACTGAATTTACAGCTGGATTACCGCGCCTGCGTTCGTACGCGGCACGCGGCATTAAACGTGATATACTCGCTTCTACCATATTTTTTATTTTCCTCTTCGGCTACGCGCGTTGCACGTTTTGTTTAGCAAACGAACGCGCACGCAACCTCGTCGGGCGAAGTCAAAGATTCGGTCTTTTTATTCAAGTTTGCTTCGATCTTCCGCGAGATCGCCGGGAAATTATACTGCGTGAGTACGTTCATTATTCTTCCTTCCAATAATTGTCTGATATTAGACAAAATTATTTTTCTAAACAACGGTTCACTTATCTGTTTACTTAATTCGTTCTCACTCTGACATTCCGTTTTAATTTTCGCCAAAGAGTTTGCTAAAGAGATAATTCGGCAAGATTTTTCTGCTCGTATTAACATGATCGTGCATGAGCAGCGTCCACAGCGTGTCGCGGCCTTTTATTAGCAAAATACGCTGGACCGATTTAGCGATTGTAGCTGAAATAGGCTATAGAAGATAAGTACTCTAGTTTAGTGATCTTACCGCGATCGGCTGCAATCGAGCGCCCTTACAGCTCGCTTAACAGAAACACTTCCACTTGCTTATGTTGCGCGTCGCGGGATAGGATCGTTCTGAAAGAAGGCGCCGATATCTCGCAACGTCTATCTCGGGAGGCACGTACGTACGAGAGTACTTAATTCGTTCTCGCATAAATCATACCACCGGCGGTCTTTTTCCCCGTCATATCGACATATGGTCCCGACGCGCGATAACGATTATCGGTGTTTCACGTTCAAAATATTCCGCGTCTCCGTTCCGAACGTATATCGGCATCGGCGATACCGAGCGTTAATCCAACTCTCTGGGCTGTCAATATCGTGCCGAGCGCGGAAAATCGCGTTTTCCGTCGTCGTCGGTGAAATTATTGCGCGAGAGGCGGCGATGTAACATCGTAAACGGGTAAAGCCAGACGATGGGCGCTTCCTACCGCTGTCTACTGACATTTACCTCGATGTTAACGCATCGACTTTCGTTGATTGGAAAGCCTGATAAATATGGTCGCGCGAAAGACATTCAATCTTCCTACGGTCGTTGCGCGCGTTTATATTTTATGGCGTCAATTTCAGTGCCCGGTGGGACGCGTTGAACTTTTTGGAATGCTAACGGGCACGCTCGCAGGAAACTGTATTTTACATCTTGCATCGGGACATGTTCATAAATTGAGTCGTTTAAGCCCTATACCTTCGCCGCGTGATGTGGACACGTCGAAGTCGTGTCAATTGGTATATCTGCCTTTTCTCTAAATTTCTTCAGCGTTTCCCCGCGCTGGGATTCGCAACACTCTCGGGATAAGCTGCCCGCAAGTAATGCATTCGTTTCTCTCTCACCGGAAACGAATAATTTACGACGCGTGCGTTTGTTACGGTAAAAATTGATCTAGATTGCACGCACCGTCACATTTATTTTGTTAAGAACTATACCAGGCGGAAGAGAAGTTCCAAAGAACGCGCGCCTCTAACTACTACATATATTTCGCAGAAATTTCTTCTGTTGTCCGATCTCGAGATAGTCAACGATAAGAATTACCCCCGGTATGAACTAACAATAAGATATACGACATTTCGCGGCTTCTCATTCGCAACGCTATAAAGTATCCGCGTCGCTCCTGTTATTGCTACTGAAAATAGAAGGCGAGAAGACCCCTGGAATAAGACGGCGGCGGCGCGTATTCCCGCGAGGCGACGACACGTAAACGATCGGGAAGTCGATTCTCGTATTTGTACGTCTTATTCACGAAGCAGACATAATCCCGGCGTGCCTGCGTAACGGTAAAAACAGATCGGCGTGCATTCACTTTTCCTCGCTGTGTGTACGCACACTTGCAGGCGCATTATCCAGCCGGCATATGAGGCACGCACTTTGCAGCGCACGCCTTTTAAGGATATATGCGAACGGTAACGTGTCAGTGCCTAGTAACAAGCCGAAACACATTGTACTTCTCGAAACCTCCGAGAAATACAAACGGCGGTATCACGCGATGCAATTGCCTACGTTTAATTATCCTTTTATCCTTTTACGTACGCTTTATACGCGGAAGTCTCGGTTAAAAGCGAGATATAAAAGTAATTGAAGAGCGGAAATGGGGGACGTCAGATGAGCGCTACGTTCTGATTTTTTTTCTCTACCGACGCATATAGATTGTGCGATAAAACGTATGACAAGTTATAGTCTGCAATTATCTCTTTATATAATATAATATACTTATATTAAATATTTAAATAAAATTAAATTTAATTTAAATATTAAAATATCTTTAAAATTTTCTTTTATATGGTCTCTGAATTATGGTATAATTCTGCTATATGATTCGCGTCCAAGATTCGCTGTCGGTTTACACATGTTCCCGCAGACCATCATATTCGCCTGATGGACATATTTCAGCTGTATAGCTCTTCCTTTCTCGCTTATCGTTACTATCACAGTAAACTCGACGATTAATTGGACGTTCGTTCGGCGGTCGAGTAAGTTGATAAAATCGGCAATCGATTTGTGGCACGTATGTTATTGTGGCATAGTATGTCACTGAACGCGAGGAGATAGGAGTGTATCCCGTGATTTTTCCATTGCGAGCATGCTCCAAGAGGATCGGAAACAACTTTCACTCGACAATAATAATCGACTTATTCTTTTCCGCGTGTCACGCTGCGCCCTGGTCTATGATTATCAGTCGTTTCGAAGTTCTCTTTCTAATTATTCAAATCATATGACTCGTAGAGACAGATGGAAGCATTTCTAGCGGGACTTTAGAGAGACGAGATCGAAGCAGATGCGCAACATTCTGAGAAATTCCTGTGGAAACTCGCGCGGTCCTAAATTGCCTCGGGGGAACGATGCGTCCGGTATACGCGCGTTGCCGGCTAAGTGGCGTCTATTAAGATTAGAAACTGGGTTAACATTGCTCCTTGGGATGAGCCGCTACTTAAGTGAAAGCCCTGGCGGCTGAAGTTAATTCATCGCCGCGTTGCGCAAACGTATTGCTAATTTCTCCGTTCGACCACTTAAACGCTCACCACACGTGTAAGCGCATAGAAAACATATTAATTTCATCTTCCTATCTGTTGGCAGACTGATCCGATGGTTCCAAGAACGAGGGACAGGTGACAAGCAAAATCCAGACGAGCGCTCCGAGATATATTTCCCGAATTCCGCGAAGAGGCTTCGATTAGAAGCAACGAGGACGAAACGATGCTGAGTCTACGGCGAAGGCATTCTCGGTGGAGAATGTTCCCCGTCTTACTGTTTCTCGGAATGATCTGCAGTGGCGAACTGGCGCCTATCCGTGTACCTGAAGAAACATCGTCAGCGACGTCGTCGACACCGAAAAAGAAGGACATTGGCTCTCTGATCGACCACTGGGAAGGGTGGTCGATCCTGATGGACGCACAGAATCTCCAACCCAGTATGGACCACCCTGCCCCTTTTTTACGAAGGATAACGCCGAAGAGCGTGTTCATCGCGCCGGTGTTACCCGCCTGCGCGGAGGGTTATCACGCGGACGAGATGGGCAGGTGCGTGAAGAGGCAGATAAGCATTGACGGTACCGCGCACAAGAACTTTCTTCTAGAGCGACTCAAAATTATGTTTGGTAATGCGCTAGCCTCCAAGAATGACCAGAAAAAATCAACCGGTCCCCTGCAGCTTAATATCCCTCTGGTGCCCGACATTAATCGTCCATTGACGAACGTCCGATTGGACGAAATATTCTCGACAAACGAGCCGGTCGCGATACCGACTCGCAATGATACTTACTTCACGGGAAGCGAAGAGAAGACAAAGCCGCACGAGACGACTCTGTACGAAGTGAAGAACGATACGACCCTGGACAAGGAGGAGTCGGCGTTTTTTCTTGAGAATTCCAGTGTTCACGATGTTGAAAAGATCGATCGGAAATCTCCAACGACAGTTTCAATCGCGGAATTGATCGAGGAGATGAACGATACCAATTCCTCGGAAGTAGTGGACTACAAGATCTCGATAAACCTGAAACCACTATTAAACTCTTCAAGCGTGAACAGGGTCAACGCGAGTGACGGTACGGAAGAAAGCATCCCGATGGCGGAGAAGCGGGAGGAGAACTCCACTGAAACGCCGCCCGCACTAGTGCTGCTGATCTCGCCTACAAAATTAACAAACGTAGTGGACGATCTGTCGTTGACGCAAAACGATACCGCCGAGCAAATCACGCAAATGTCTGACGTCACCTCGAACACTACCACGAAGGACAGCATCATCGTCGAGGCACCGGACTCCACCGCGCTTCCACCTGCGAAACAACTGACGTCGAATCCGCTGGATGAGCAACGAGATAACGAGACATACGCGGAAGACGAATTAACACCGGAGACTTCCAAGCCGAACGAGTCGCAGGAAACGGATTTCATCTATGATCAGGAAGAGGACGACGGGGATTATCAATACAGCACGGATGTGCCGGACGATGAAGACTCGACTGAAGGTGAGGAGATCTTGAAGCATGGAGAGGCCGGCATGACGATTCCCACGCGAGACATCGAGCGATTAGATCGCGAGCGTCATCAACGGCAGCGAAATCGAACCGCAGATCTACAGAAGAAGATGCTCGATATAGGCGATCGAGTCATGATCCGCTTTAACGATTCCGCGCCTACGGAGGACAAGGACGAGGCGGGGAGCAATGTCTCCAGCGAAGTCAGCATCGACGGTGACTTCATTCTGGAGACAACGATCCTGGACGTGAACACCGAGAGACTGCAAGTCACCACTCAGTCGCCGCCGGACGTGACGGAAAAAATCGTCAAGGATAGCGAGAACGGTTCCAAAGAATCGTTCGGCAAGAATCCCGATATCGTGCCGGAAGTCGTATTCTCTCAAGACGCTTACGGCGCGGCGTCCACCAATTCGAACGGACGCGAGCGAACCGAGCAGCTCTCTACGAGGATCGAGAATGAAAGGAACGAGGAACTGGAAACTGCGCCTTCCTCGTCCGAGTCGCTGTTGTACGACTCGCCGGAGGAAGACCCGATAACCGAGATCCACACGATCAACGAGAAACGATCGGACGCCAAAGAGAGCGTGCTGCAGGAAAGTTCGACGGGCTCCCAGTCAAACGTCCCGGTGAGCAGTTCCAAACAGACTACGATGAATCTCGACTCCACCGAGGATTTCGTGAGATTTCCCGATTACCCAAGGCAGCCGCAACAAAGTAATTACGTGAGGTTCCCGTCTAACGAAGCCAACAGCATACACAGTCAGAATTATAAGCAGAACACGCGCTATCCCGCGGACGACGTCGTCCCTTACGGCGGCACCAGCACCAAGAGCAGCGTACCCACGCGTCAGAAACCAATTTACTATCTGACAGCGTCAAATTGGAAGCTGGACCGATCGCAACCCGATCACATCCAGACGACGGCCAGCGAGAGGCAGAATCGGAGATCGGATTTGATGCGTTTCTGGAGTAAGATGCCGCTGATCAGGGATCCGGACATGTATCCCTATCAGGACGAGGCGACCGACGACGACCAGAAACAATTCCACGACCGATTTTTCCGGGGGCGATCGTCGCGGAGGTTGAGCCCCTTCACGGAGACGTCGCCGGGGAGCAGGGTGCCAACGCAGAAGCGAAGAACGCCAATCGGCATGTAATTGTCTTCACGTCGCTTTCCTTTGAAAGAAAGGTTTAATGAACTGTGTTTAGAACTGTGTCAAATGACTTGAGAAGAATTCCGAAATTGCGTCGAGATAGTTCGCGGATTGTTCGCCGCGTTTAGATCGCTATCGTACGAAGATTTCGAAGAAATAAGATCGATGAGGAGAATAGTTGACGGAAGATATTCCGCGACAATCTGTTGGAGAAGTTCGAGAGTCGGCGGTACTACGTGTATCGCGCCTAGTATTTTTTTTTTGCTCAGCGAATATGTTGCAAATATGTTGGAAACTTCGACGATCTCAGGAGGGGTGATCCGGAATCTAAGTTATCTTCCCTGGTATTGCCTTCCCGATTCTCCGTGTGAGAAGAAAACTGGACTCGCTAAGAGCGGAAGGAAATTTAAGAAGCGTACTTAGACATGTATTACATTTGCGTCATATCGTGTTGGCGATTTTAAACTCGTATCTGGGAAGACCTTTTCGGTGAAAATCTCACAAAGGATGCGTATTAATATCTATGCTGCGCAATTAATAATGATAAGCATTGGACAAAGAAAATAGCAAGTAGCTGACGTAAAAGATTTGTGCAATCGACAACGAATTTTAATGAGACGTCCAACTTTCTACGGAAAGTTCGAACTGCATCGTGCATTTCAAAATAAAGGCATCGAGTTGCTAAGCGTCGGAGGTTTTTTGCGAACTCGTTACATCTAAGATCTAAGCGATAACGAATATTGAATTGCATGAAAAATATACGTCGCTCTTTCGAACGGTAAAGTCGATCGAGAGGATCGATTTGTTCGAACTAATATTAATTAGGCTAACATTTACGAAACAAGCAAACGAAAGCTGAGATTTTCTACGGTACCAGAATACACTAAAATAAAGTAGAAGAAACACTGCCCAAAATAACTTTTAAAAATTTTTTATGAGTAATTTTTTACATTTTTTCGACTGTAGAAATTAATAATGATCCACACTTTCGTCACATATTTGATTTTACGTACGATATCCGGATCTCTATATTTTTAACTATCAATGTTTATTATTGTAATAATATAACAATCATTTTGTAATGAAATTTTTATTTATAATGACTCTATTTTATTTTTCGTAATTCTATTATTTTAAACGATTAGTTTGTCATGTTTCGCATGATATAAATAATTTCGTCGTATTGAATACTAAATATGCGACGAAAATGCGGGAAAATGCGAATAAATCCTTAATATAAAATATATCGCTGATTAGGCTATCGCATGGTAAAATAGTCATTAATTCAGCCAAGTTTCGTGCGAAATGTCGTTGATGAATCTTTATTCTCTGTGCAGCAGAGAGATAGTTATTAGACTCGTCAGTGTTAACACTAATTTCGAGATAAGGGTACATGAGCGGCGTTTACGAGCTCGCGAGCGATACGTCGAGCTCATTTACTAACGGAAGTGTTATTGAAGCACAGACTGATCTTTACAGTTATTATAGAGTAGTCGATTTTTGGTCGTACGAAATTTTGAGAATCGTGTTGCTCAGTAAAAAATATATCGTGCAGCATCAATTTCGTGCTCGTCGTTGTAAGATCTGTAGAGAAAGACCAGCGAATCACTTCGAATTACACGACCTTTTGCAGATTCTTAAATCACTCGATTTTATAAAACGACAAGCGTGCGCGAACGTGTTAGATCTTTTTACAAATCAGTCACGAATTACATCTATATTAGCAAACCCACAGCGTAGAATAAGTGTTTTTGGTGTGACCTAATCGATCGTTGTTTCACGTCGATAGCTTCAAAGGTGATTTCGCTCGAGACAGGCAAAATCAATGGTCGAAAAGTTTCGATGAAACTTCTTTGCCGTATTCGGCCTTGCCTTTCATTCACAAGGCAAGATAATTGCATTTTGACTTGACGGCAACATTATCGTCACCGATACCGCTATAATGAACGCTCCGGTTATAACGTGACACGCAGTAAGCAAGAATACTTAAAAAACTCTTTATTATTTGAATAATATTAATAATAAATCGACGTAGAATACTTTCAATGATTTTTATTGATGCGTAAATCGTAAAAGTCTGCTCTTAAAAGTAAATTAATTTTTATTAGACCTAGACGTATATTGGGCAATTAATTTAGAATAATGTGCTATTACTTGTCATTGCATGACACTCCCGGAATTTGTTACAGCTTTCTTTCCCTTAAAATCGAAAAGCTTAAAAAATATGGGAAATGTTTACATCTCTCAAATATAATACTAATTAAGCATTCTACTCAAATAATATTTACTAAATCCTGTTAACACTCGTATATTAAAATTGTCTAACGGTTTGCTTCTTTCATTTTAATCTGTCGCACACGGTGTTGCTAAAACCGCGGCTTTTTTATTATAGCGGACGTTATCGGGACTCCATCCCAAGCATCGAGACATTTCGAATCAGCTTTTGTTATTCCTGCTACGAACGCGATAACGAAGCCGAAAGATTTTTACGATACTTGACATTGTGCGGCCAGTAAGTCTAACTGATCTACGTGCGTCTCAATGTGGTGTGTAATGTCTCTCGTACTATTTGAATGTCGATTCGTGTACATATTAATTTTTATCATTGAGAAATGTATATACGCATAGAGGCATAATGTAGGCATAATATAAATAATATAAGTGTTAACAGCAGAGCACAGTCCCCGATTGCGTATTAATCGTGTATTAAATCTTATTGTATTATTTATAGCGAAATATATCGATGTATATTGCATTTGTCGTGTTGTGCAAGGCCGCCTGTTAGATAAACGGAGTGAAAGGAGTTGTGGAAAAATGAATCGCATACGACGCCCGTATGATACCAAATTATCGTGCTCTTTTATTTGTACAACCTGTCCACCCATCCTCCACGCGTATCCTATACAATTGAAATATCGTACCTACAAAAAAACTAATCAACTGTATCAGCTCGTCTTGAGACCCTTAAACCCTCTAGCCAGGAAGAATTTCTCGGACGACTCGTCTCTCGTCGCGTCAGGCCTGATCACTTTCACGCTACCGTAAAACTTGGACAGATTCTCTTCAAACTCCTGTGCCTTACCACCGTCCCAGACTTTCACCACGAGCGTACCCTGCGCCTTACTGAACCGCACCGCGAATCTCAGAACGGCGTATGCGAGTAACATTATATTATCGTGATCCATCTCCCTCACGCCGGACGCGTTCGGTGCCATGTCGGACAGGACAACGTCGGCCTTGTCCCCGCGCAGCATTTCGCTCAGAGCCTCTTGCGTCTTGGCGCTCGTGAAATCCATGTTCCCCAGAATGGTCGCGCCTTCCACGGGATAGAACGGCAGCCTGTCGACGGCGTACACCCTGCCGACGGGGTCCTCTCTCTTGGCGTGCGCGTTGGTCAGATTGGTGGCGACCTGCGTCCAGCTGCCGGGCGCCGCCCCGCAATCTATGACCGTCAGACCCGGGCTGAGGATCTTGAATCGCTCGTTGATCTCCAGGAGCTTGAACGCGCTCCTGCACCTGTAGCTCTCCTGCTTCGCCATCTCCACGTACGGATCGCGCAGCTGCCTCACCAGCCACTGCTGCGAGCTGTGCTTCTTGCCCTTCAGATTCCGCGGGGTCTCCCTGAGCAATGCGCAACCGGTGTGCACGCCCCTCGCCCGCGAGACGCTCCTGTAGAGAGAATTCATCTCGGGATATGTACACAATACAAAATGTGATCTAACCTGACCGAGCGTAGTTCAGGGTAAACGCTCGACGTCGAGAGACTTTTCGCAAATATCCAATGTCTATCCGTCACCAGATTGAGCGTCGTACATTGCCAGCAAATTGTTAGTGCGTACAAATCACGAGCTAACTAAATCTTCAAGTAATTAATTGGAGGATGAACGTGTGTGGAAAACAAACTGGACTCTGGGCGCGGCCATGTTGCGCTACCGCGACGTTGGTTATCAGCTGATCAACATCTGTCAGTCGTTACTGCAGAAACTTGACGTATCGGTATCAAACGTATTGATCGTCAAGAAGTATCGGTTCGGGTCTTTTTAATGAAATACGCAGATATTCAGATGCGTTACAAAAAATGTTATAAAAGAAAGTATCTCACTTCAAAACTGAAAATTTAAATCTGCTCCTAGAATTGCTCGATACTGCACTTTCTGCACTCAAGACGAAAGAGATGCATATAACAGACGTTGATGAGAAAAAGGAAAAAGAATAAAAGGTGTAAAACAATCCTATAAACCTCGAATGAGAAACCACCGACGAGATATTATTAAAGAATATCAATATTATTGACCGTCGACATTTTTCGATCGCCGACATGAATACCTGAACAACCAACTTATTATTATTAAATTTGCGATTTATGTGACGAGATTTAATTAAGTTCCTCTCTTCACTATTGACATCATATTTCAGCGATTAAATCGATAAGTCAGCGACCGCGGGGCGAGGAGGCACCAAAAAATTAAAGAGTCTGTTGTCTGTTTTCTGTTTTCTGTTGAACTAGTTCAGAGTTTATCTTTTTTACTCCAGGTTGAAAAGAAAAAGATAAACCCTGAACTAATGCAGCCAGTTCAGCAATAGAAAACAGACGCTCATTGCACGTGTTGGTGAAACGTCAATGAATAACAATAAATCATAAAATATTACGTAACGAGTTAATCGTCCCAATTTTGACACATGAAGTCACATGAACTTCTGATCTAACAATAAGATCGTCAGCCTTTAATAACACTCATGCCTCGATGCCTCGAATAACGAGTGCAGTGCATATATACTTAATATACAACACATATATCAGAGAAAATAGTCAGGGCACCCATACCACGTACGCGACGCACACATGCGCGTGCACGTTCGCGGCACGCTCGTAGCGGCCTGCGGCAGGGAAGAGGGAAGAGTATCGCGGACCGGCGGCGGCGAGCGGCGATGTGACCGAGGAGCCGCGGCGCGAGCGCGAGACGGACGTCTGGTGTCCCGGATGTTTTCGTCGACGTAGTGATCCACGATGAACCTCACCGCGGGCAACGCGCACGGCAACGGCCTGCTCTACGCCGGCTTCAATCAGGACCAAGGTACATACGTGCGTTCGCGGCGTTCTGCCTGACAGCCGCGCTGATAACGGAGCATCCGCGCGCCGCGCGTATCTGTCAAGAGATCCGTCTCGCTTCCGCGTTCTAACCTAGCCGAGCCGTCCGCGGCTCGTTCGCGGCAGACGGTACCGCGACGACGACGACGACGATGACGCGATCCGCGTCGCGGCGCGAGCAATTCAGCCTCGGCGTTCCTAACCTCCTCGCCGTGGCCGTTAATCCGGAACGCCGGAGGACCCGAGGGCCGTCGCGATCTCGCCGATCGATCGACCGAGAGCCTCTTCGCCGAGGAACGCCGGCGACCCGCCGCGCGATTCGCGGCAGATTCGTAGATCCGCTCTCGTACGATCTGCTCTCTCTCTCTCTCTCGATTTAGAAAGCTGCGGCAAAAGAACGACACGATTCGGTACATTCGTTTGCATCTCCTTTTCCTTCCATCTCATCTCGAAGCGATACCGTTGCACGGTTGAAGCAAGTCGGCGCGATATCGCGTTTCTGTGTGAGTTTATCAGGTCCAGTCATCTTCTGCGCTCGTGTCGGCGCGTGCATGTATCGTAAATATACGCGATAGTCGATTAATATTGCTAAGGAAAGGGATGTACGTGTAGCAGATAAAGCTGTATCACCGCCTGTGTTCACGCATTTGCAGGATGCTTCGCCTGTGGCATGGAGAACGGGTTCCGTGTGTACAACTGTGATCCGCTGAAGGAGAAAGAGAGGCACGACTTCAGCGACGGGGGCCTCGGATATGTGGAGATGCTTTTCAGATGTAATTATCTGGCGCTGGTTGGCGGTGGAGCCAAGCCGATGTACCCGACAAACAAAGGTTCCTTTTACTTTTCTATATATATATGGTACAAATATTGCTACAAATTGAGACAACTTTATATTTTGTGATTGCAGTCATGATATGGGACGATATAAAGAAATTGCCAGCAATTACCCTAGAATTCAATGCACCCGTGAAGGGGGTCAAGTTGCGGAGAGACAGGATAGTGGTAGTGCTGGAGGGTGTTATTAAGGTTTATACGTTTACACAAAATCCCCAACAGTTGCACGTATTCGAGACTAATCCTAATCCGCGAGGGTTGTGCGTTCTGTGCCCGAACAGCAACAACTCCTTACTCGCCTTTCCCGGACGAAAGAACGGTCACGTTCAAGGTAAGATCTGTCAAAAAAAAACAAAAAACGGGATCGATGCGTCTTGCACGTCAAATATATATTGATTACGTAACACCGACGACTTGTATTTCAGTTATAGATCTGGCTAATACAGAGAAGCAACCCTTAAATATAGAAGCACACGAAACGCCTTTATCTTGCATAGCTTTAAATCTGCAGGGCACCAGATTGGCCACTGCCTCGGAGAAAGGTACTTTGATAAGAGTGTTCGATACGCAAAACGGTAACATGATTAACGAATTAAGAAGAGGAGCGAATCACGCAAATATCTATTGGTAAGCGATCTAAAAAGAAATGTGACGAAACGTGTGGTGCACGAAATCTTGACTGATATGTATGTTTTATTTCAGCATAAACTTCAATCACGATTCTACGTGGCTGTGCGTTGCCAGCGATCACGGTACCGTACACGTATTCGCCGTCGAAGATCAAAAATTAAATCGCCAATCTAGTTTAGCGTCCGCCACTTTCCTGCCAAAGTACTTCAGTTCGAATTGGAGTTTCTGCAAATTTCAAGTGCCGGGCGGTCCCCAGTGCATGTGCGCGTTTGGTCAAGATAACAATAGCATCATAGGTAAGCGATACCATGTGAATTAAAGAAATGTCAAACAAAAACCGTTTTACATGCTCCGTTCAATCTTTCACGTTTACGATCCTTTATGCAGTGATATGCGCAGACGGTAGTTATTACAAGTTCGTATTCAACAACAAGGGTGAGTGCACGAGAGACTTTTACGCGCAGTTTCTCGAGTTGACCGATGACAAAGCGTGATCGGAGGATACATAACCGGCGGTGGACTCCTAACCGCGAGAGATGACCTTCGTGTTCCTTCATTGTTTTCACTCATTTCGGCCGAGTAAAAGAACGAGCGGGTACGGCTCGCAGGTACATCGTATTCATGGATTACAATACTCGAGCTGTTTATATAGGGGAAATGACGTTTGTACCAAACGTTACGATAGAGGACCAAATGAAGAGTTCTATTAATTGTTGGTGATATCGTTGGTGTGTTGTGCGCGGATTTTTTTCCCGAAAAAAAAAGAAAAGAAAAGAAATATTGACAAATAGAAGAGGAAGGGAAAAATACCTTAACAGAGATTGTGTCATAAACTTGTTACACGAGCCTATTCGCTGACGCCTATTGATAGAAGAGCAAATTTTTAAATATAACTAAAACAGAAGGAATATTTCCCCAGGTGATAACGGGGGACATCGCAAGTTACTTGTTGGCGTGATACTCACGTTTTCTTACATTTTAGATAAGAACGCTGCTGCAGCTAACTAAAGCAAATGTTGGCCATAAATTATCCTTGTGGCAAAAAGCAAATAATCATTTTCCGTAGCTTCGCGGTAAGCGCTTTGCAATGCAATCGTGTATCCCTATCGATCATGTGTTTTGTAGCTCCGTAAATCTTTTCGTTATATTATATATAAATACATTACTATAAAATTGATATATACATCCCTACTCTTCGACGATTTTAAATAGATTGTTAAATAGATTGCATCCGTTTTTGGCGATTTGTTGAACACGTCTTTGTTTCATATGTCGAATCATATCATATATATATATATATATACACGTCATATACATATGTATCGTACTGAAGTATTGTAATTTTTATTTTTACGTTTTTCCATACATCTAATATACATATACACAAGAGATTCTACACTTTATATCACACGGCTATTACCGCAAATAACGAGGTTGTAATTTTACAAACAAGTTGAGTTTAAGTACGAAATAAAAACTGATTATGCCACGATTCGGAGTCCTGCCCCGCTATTTCTCTCTAATAAATTAGTCTACAATTCATATATAGCGTTTTCGATGTTATCAATCTAACGAGCGTAAATTATTCGAGATCTTACTTGCTTACGCTAAAAAATTAAATTCAGTCTTGCGCGTGAAAGGAAGTGCGCACTCGCAGAGAGAGAGATTACTTTTGGAATCGTGATATTTTCACCCGTCAGAATTCCGACGAATGGAAATCCGAAACGCATGTGTGTCGCATGTGAGCGTACGGTGGATATACAGTTTTTTGATTGAATGACCTAAACACTAGTATCTGTGCGTTACATTAAAGAGCCATCTCAACGCACGAACGTAAAAGAACATGCATGAACTTTGACAAGGCAGAACAAGGAGAGAAACATTTAAATATGAGAAGCGCGCTTCTTGCAAATTCTCTTGAACTTTACACAGTAAAATCTTATAAACAAAAACATCCCATCCTATGTGCGATACACTTTTTATTACGAAAACCTTCCGTCAGTTTGCAATCATTTTTCCGAGATAATGCACTTTTAATTCACGATTTTACAACCATCTCTAATTGCCATCCCAATTTTCGGACTTGTCCGAAAGCACATGTATTTTTGTCAAAATGCATCTACGCCACGGAGAGCTCGTCACGATCGAATCTTGCGATTTTTGCGATATTACGAGGATTTTCTCCATCCTCATCGACGAATCAATTCTCCATTGTTATCTCATAATATCTTTAAAGTTCGTAAGGTTTGTTCACCGGCATCTGAATCGCCGCCTTTGGTACCTCCAGCGGTATGGGAACTGCGTACTTTTTTTTCATACTGTGTACCTCGTGCATAAGTCCTTTCTTCGTCTCGAGGCTCTTATAAGTACTGTACACCACGAACCAGACGTAAAAGCTCATGATTATCAGGAAGAAGGCGATTAGGCCTGAAAATATTACATCATCTCTCAGTAAAAATCACGATAAATATTTCATGTGATAAAATAAGGTTAATATAAAATTCTTCAGTAAGTAAAATGATATATCGATCGTTCTAAATTTCTCGTTTCACGGTTACGATGTTCTTTATTAAATTGTGAAAGAATAAGGGCCCAGTTGAATTTTCTTTGAGATACAAAATTTAACCGAAAAAATTCGTAGCATTACGGGCGTTTTATATACTTGAAAATTTCAACATACGTTCGCAAATACCAGCTCTTCCGCCTAGAGTAGCGAGGAAAGGACAATCCTCCTCTACCAGGAATAATGAGATTGCTAAGGCTGATATAATAGTGATCTTGACCATCATCCAAGGCGCCATAAAGTGACGATTATTCTGAAAATCAAGTACATCGTAAACAAGAAAGACCTCGACCTCTGACTATTTTTTCGAGCGATTTCGATTACCGTTAGAGCTCCATAGAGAAGTAACATAGTAGAGATGAAGTGGATAACCGTGATGACGAGGCCGCAGTACATCGCATATACCATTTCTATAAATATAAAATCATCTTTTTGTAAATTATACGTGACAAGAGGGATAACGACGGTTTCTTTTTTCTTTCGTGCATGATTTTTGTGCCTCGCGTGAATGTAAGTGTTAATAACCGGTTGCGTTGTGATGCGCCAGATCCATTTTTTTGGTGTTGAGATGATTTGACGATATCTCCTCCAAGGCCTCCCTCTCGAGGGCGTCTTCGGTGTCTCTCACCACCATTTCTTGAATCCCCATTGCGTGCGCCAGAGCCAGGATGAAGAATATCATACTGAATCCGGACGAGAACTGCGACATTTATTAAAATTACACTCAACGAAGCGGATTAATTGCTCGAGATAAATCTCATAGAGGTTGTTGTTACCAATTGGAATATGGCAATTAGTATTGTGCCCTGCCTCAGGTTGAAAATAGTGCAAAAGTTTTTCAACAGCCCGATCTTCATCTTGGCTTTTGAGAATTAACGTAGATCGCAAACTATAGCTCTTCGCAAACACACCCCTGAAAGTTCATTAATTATTTTCTATGTAATCCATAAATATCTACGCGTGTTATTAGATTTTAGTTTATTAAATCACTCAAATCTTCTAAGAAATATATTTCGCTATTATAAATAAAGTAGGTTTACGAACTTTACGCGCAGCGAGTTTGTATTGTACTAACAAACGCGGAGATTATTTTTTAATAAATAAATTACAGCGAGTAACAATAATCAGATTATATCACATTCCCATGCTTATCTCGATAATTTTACTGATTATCTTGCCTGCTACCCCTTTTGGCAGCCTCCGTGCAACGCGTCGAGACGCACCTTAAAGCAATCGAAGTCGCAGCCAGTGACGAAAGTAGGTGAAACGCACGTCGCCGTTTACCTTCGCGGCAGGTGTACTCCTAAACACGACCGTAGGTGTGCTCGACGAACCACCACCGTCTGCTCGCGATGGGAATCAATAACTTTCGCGGACACACCGTGACAGGGGGTAGGGCGATCCGTGGCGCCCGGCAGCTTCGTATCGCGGGGTATCGGCGACGAATTCTCGCTCGCGACACCCGTGAGATCGCGGACGAACGCGACAAATAATGTAACGGGAAAAAATAGCGCGTCTCGGGGTCGATCTCGCCGGGGTGCTTGCGACGCGCAGAACGCGAGAGTGGCTTCGTGGTTCGAGGAGGGGTTGAAAACGACTGCTTGACGGGCGCGCACGCGCTGTAACACACGCTATCATGCATCCCTTCGGGTGCGTCTGCTCCGGATTGACTATTGTTTATTTATACGCGTCGGTCTCAATTAATCGCATGATTTATCGAATAGATTTTTTTTTAAATCAAATCTGCTGCAGATTTAATTAAGTCTGATTAGCACGAAGCTTCGATGATAGGGAATGTTTTATTTTTTCTTTATATTCTTTGTGATGGATAATTAATTGAGTGAGCGCGTCTAATTTAAAGATTAATCATTGTAAAAAGAGTAATTCGAAAAACATTATTTGAGTGTAATTTGAATGTAACTGATTATATTTTCTGAAATAGAGTTGGAAAAAAGATAGTGTAACTTGAATTACGATGAAATAAATGTTAATCAGATGTTTCATCTGATATTTAATATTCTAGACATTTTTAAATCTTAGAAATTTTTAAAGTAAAAAAGACACTAATATATCAAAGAAATTCAACGTGCGAGAGAATTTTAGATTTCGAAATATAAATTCCCTAAAATATCCATATCCAGATATCAAATTTTTAAATCTGGAATCTCAAAATACAAAGATTTATCTTAAAAATCTAAATGTTTAAAAGTGTGGCAATTAACTGCGTTATTCCAATTCTTTTTGAATTTCAAAATTTGTACGAACTCGAGTGAAATTTTGATTGCGAACGAGTGGATTTGCGAACCGCTGCAGAAATTATTACTTATTAGATCCACTCGTGAGTAATAGCTCGCGCTTTCGAATTCTAATCTGGAAAGTTAGTTCGATCGCGTTGAGTCATCTTTCCAAGTAGTCATAGAAACGCGACGTGCGCCCCGAAATGGTAGATTACGCGGTCGAGGGTCGAGGGGGATGAATGCGTGATTGTCGCTTTGACGAGCCGCAACCGCCGCAACTGCCGCAAGCTCGTGACAGTCCATTTCGTAATAGCGTGCGATTGCACACGTCGCTCTCGGGAATTCGCGAATTTTGAAACCGATGGAGCGAAAGTACCAGAGAGTGGGTTTGGGGGTGGGTGCGTTTCACAATCCCCCAAGAGCGAAATACAGCGAGGAAACGAAAAATCTTATTAAGCGTAAGTAAACAGTACTTAATAACCAATATTCGACGCGTGTTAAATATATTGAGCTTTACGCAAAGAATCCTGTTTTTTTACACGATTTTTAACGCGTCTCTAACTAATCTAATAAATATTAAATATTAGTGTTAATGGAGGAATCCAAGCTATCAATGTTGCAAAGAAAAACGATCCAGGAAGCGGTAGACAAGGGTGAGTCTTTACCACCTTCCATCGACAGAACGAAAGAAGCGAAAGATAAAGCCGAAGATTATCAAGTAAATATCGCAATAAAAAAAATCTCTAGAAAATGATTTCAAGATAATATTCTGTAGCGTTTTTCGCTAGGTTAAATTCCCTAGTGCTTGGAGGAGGCGTTCACAGGATACGATTATAAGCAGCGGTGCTTACGAGAGAGAACAATACAGGAGGACAGCGCCCTTACGTAATAATTAGAAATAATATTACTTTAGTCAAGATAGTAGCCGAAAATATAAAACGCGCATTGAACGATATGAATTTCACGCCAATTAGCCAACAAGGAGAAGCAAAAACGTCACTTGGCGTGTATGATGGCTTATGGGAAGGACATGCCGGAGACTCCTCACGGTCCCAAAATCCTTCACAGGGCTAAACGAGAGCCGGAAATACCTGAGAACGCGGATTTTCTGAATGACTGTAAGTTACCACAGTCTGTCGCGTACCTATGTGATATTATACGAAATTTTAAGGAGTTTTTTTTTCTAAATTATTTACGACAATCGTACAAACAGTAGAGCACCTCAAATTTAATAAAATAAATTTGTAATGCGCGTGGAAACTGATGGTGATGTCATAACGACAAATCACGTCGTTCTGCTTCTCGTAGTGGTTCAAGGGATCCGCGAGAGAATGGATTTCTTGCGCGATATGGAGAACCTCGGAATGGGGAAGAAGTATCGGCCCATAATGCAGCAGGAGATAGCGCAGAAAATACGGCTGATCGAGTCGCTGGACAGTCAAACGTCCAACGAGCTGCGAAGAGAGATTTGTGAAGTCAAACATGAAAGACCGTCGCCGAAACTGTTTCCGCTGACTGAACCAGGGGAAAATTGATTGATGTAATCTACACGTAATGCGCAAATTACATGGCCTAGATCGGATTGTGTGTCAAATATAGTCGACTATATTTTTTATCATGTTTCAATCGTCTGATAAGCCACAAGTGAATTTTACAGATAAGAACGTAAAAGATAATGTCAAGTATTATGATTCAACTGTCTAAAATCGTAAATAGATAAATTATTTGTAAGATTAGATTTATAAATTTTATTCTGCAAAATTATTCTCATATTTGATGTGAATTTAAAAAAAAAAAATAGATGTCAATTTCGTCAAAATATTTATCTTTCTCTTCTCTTTTCTTATTTTTTATCATATTTTACATGTATTTTTATCATTGTATACTCTTGTTTGACCCACAGACATTAATTGTATTCATGGTACCAATAGTTTCCATGCTCTTTATCTTCTTTCGGAATAAAATTCGATCAATTATTAATTTTATTCATGTGCTATTGATAATTAATTTTTAGACTCGTAGAGAATCCTTTCCAATTCTGGAATGGAAATAATCTTTTAAATCTCAACAGATTTATTAATTTTATTCATACCAATAGTTGTTATACTTTTAAATAACTTTTCGACTTAAAAAATAAAAATAAACGCATCTGTTGAATTACTGTCATCATCGTCGTAAAAAATTGCCACTTCCTGATTAAAAGAACAGAAGAAAAATAAGGAAGATATGCAAATTGAACGTATGCTGATGTTTCTTTCGCGACTCCGATGCATAAACATCGCAGCGTGCTCCAGCGAGAGTCCAGCTCGGTAATCACCACTTCACGCGGACTCCGCGGCGAGACGCCGCGATCGCGCGAGCACGAGCACGAGGATCGAGGATCGGCGTTCCGCGGCGCGGCGTCCCGTCCCGTCGTCAGTCTTCCGCCGCGCGGCGACAGCGTGTGTTGTCTGGGTATTTTACGCGCGCCGTCACCGTTGTCGTTGACGTGTCGCAACGTCGTACGTTCGCGAGTGTCGCGAGTGCGCGAGAGATCGTTCGCGCTCGTGCGACCGGAACGGGAACTCCAATTTCAACGCTCGCGCCGTGGTGCCGTCAACCGTCGATCGACTCACCGACGACGGCTGACTATCTTTTTTTCTCTTTCTCTCCTTCTCTCTTTCTCTCTGCGTCGCCGATCCGCCGCACGAATGATCCACGGATGATCCAACATGGCGTCGACCGATCTGTCGTTCGGTAAATGATGAGCCTCTTCGAGAACCCCGTAACAGTCTCCGTGACAAGGTCTCCCGCGAGGTCAACCGGTTCTCTCGTCGGCCGATCCGTCGTCGGCCGTCGCGTCGTCGCGTTGCCTCGCGAAAACGCGGTCGCTCCCTTCTCTCTCTCTCTCTGTCCTTCCCCCCCGGATGTCCCGATCTCCTTATCAATGCGAGCGCAATGAGAATACGGGACGTCGAGCGGACGTCTCTCGTTTGCCTTCCGCTCGACCGCGAACGAGCCCCGCGACCGGGAGATGCAGCTTCCTATCTTTTTCCTTCGCCCGCTTGTTTTTTTTTTCGCTCGTAGGCTCGCGTGTTCGGGATGCGACAATCAGCTGATCTTTCGTACGCCTTGACATCCGCGATGTAAATCGCGTATGCGTGACCGGCGGCCACGACGACGATAACGGTAACGACCGTCGCGATGGTTTGGTACCGTCTGATTTCCGTACCGTTAATAAACTTCACGCGGGGCAAGATTCGCCAAGTTTGGATTTCGCGTGCGCGCATTTCCCCCGCGCGAACGCGAATTGATTAAATCGGAATATTATCGAAACGCGCTGGCGTTAAAAGGAAACTGAGATACGATTTTAGCGTGCCTGTGTTAACGTGGAGCTAATGACGCATAAGATGTTTCATAATCGCTCCGGGGATGACTTCACCTTGGGTCTTTATTGGATGCTCTTCGTTTTTGCATGACATAAAACTTCGTTGGAAAACATAGCAAATTTATTGAATAGCATTTCACTATACTTGACGTTGGATTTATCAAAATCGTTGCCCTCAAAATTCCAACAATTCTATGTATTATAATTGTATTTCGAATTATACAAAGATCGATTCGACGATGAATCGGCCTGCAAAGTTTCACGCGAGTCTTGCAAAAGGTTTCGCGCGGTTGCGCAGGTTTTAACGTAATCCGAGCGCGAATTTGGCGCGATAGAGAACGACGTTGGGACACCCTGAGGAAAATCCAGCGCGGTAGATTTCCGTAAGGAGCGATTTCTCGTAAGAAACACGGAGAAAGTCACTCGGGTTCCCTTTAACAAAAGCACGCTCGTTCGCGGGACGGCCGACCCGATACGAACGCATGCACGTACTCCGGCATTTCGTCACGCGCGACCGACGAGAGCGGTCGCGGATAGAGCGCGAGCGTATACGCCGCGCGCTAGGAACGCCGCTCTCGAAGGCCTCGTTATAGCCGTCGAGCGAGCCGAGCCGAGCGAGCGACGCCGACGGTAGGATTCCGTCCGGGGAGACCTGTCTCTTTTTCTCTTTATCTCTCTCTTTCGTTGCTCTCTGTTTTTTTTTTCTCTCACGTTTCTCTCCCCGCACGAATCCCAGGCTCTATACCGGCGTTCTACAGAGAAGTCTACGAGAAGGTCTGCTTGCCCACCAGCGGAAACGTGAAGCTCGAGGTGTTCAGGTCCCTGCTTGTCAAGTCGCAACTAAGCGGTTCCATCGTCAATCAGGTACGGCCCTTCCGCGTCTCGTTTCCGAATAATTTATCTATTTATCCTACTTCATTTTGTTAGGGGTCATTTTTAGGTCAGATAAAGAAATTTCTTTCGCGCTTCCGATTGTTGCCACACACACAGTTGAAATATTGGAATATAATACTATACAACTATACATATATGTATAACACGGTCTGGATGATGATGCAAAGAATGATCGTCGATTGCATTTAGTGTAATTTTAATTACGATTTATAAATCATGAATATATAGAGAGATGAAAGCGGGTAAAAGCCATGATGGTGCAATGTAAGTAAAAATTTTTAAAATATTCTATACAATATATAAATTGTATCTATGCATACGAGATAATATTTTTAAAAATTTGATTTACACCACTATAGCTTTTACCCCTCCATATAATTCTCTTAGACACCAAATAAAAACTCCACTTCTCACAAACTTCTTAATCTTACACACGAAGCACGCGATTAGTTTGTAATTTCATCAATTACTCCGCTTTTTATTTTATGGAGTTAATCAATTTGGCTTCCGAGAAGCTCGTACAAGGCTTGGTTCTTTACCAATCACGAGATGAAGATGTCATTTATTTCCTTATCTCGCGAATCCATCGAGAAGTAAATGGCGAAGAGAGAGCTAAATAAGAGAGGAAGAAGGCGTTCCGTTGGACTGTTACAAAGAAATGCCTTTACACTGTGGAGTAAATCCGATAGCGAGTTTAAAACGCGGCGGGCGTACTCTCACGGGTTTCAGTTTCTAACGTGTCGCACGACCTTTCCCAAGAGGAATTTACTTGTGTTATGTTTGTATCTCTATTGCGACTGCTAAACATTTGTACATACCGATATTTATATTTTGCATATACCGAGAGATGATACGCTGTGAAGCCTTCATATCTGTAATTTGATGCCCTATGTTGATTTTGATTGTCATGTCAAATAAACGAAAAGTCTTAATTAATTCAAGAGGATATTACTTAATCTCTAACACGTTTTCAACTGCAGGCCTAATATAATTAATATATAGGCTTTCTGCTGCTACTATCGATTGGAGCTATCACTATTGGAGTCTATTAATTGGCAATAAATATTTTCGTTAATTTTTATCATTCTACTATTTATCAGAATATACATATGTATATTTCCTCATTTCCTGATTTTGTTCGAAAAACATTCGCAATAATACGTTGGTCAGCAATACGAGTTTATTGTATGCGAACAATAAATAAAATATCAGCTGTCGAAAATCAGCCTTTGATTAACAATTGCCATATTAAATAAACAAACGGTCTTAATTTGAGATGGATATTATTTTAATTTCTTAACACACCACAGAACTATCAAAATAATCGACGATTTATCGCAAACGCGATCAGGCTCGCTCTTGCATGACGAAGATTTTCTCCGGCGACTTTTCGTCGTTCTTATCGCGCACGACGAACAAGAAAATTTAATCCGACCATCTTTACATGACTTTCTATTCGGAGATAATCGGCCAATTTGGCTAAATATATGCCAGAGTTCGCGAGCATAATAATGCAAACCGAGCACTTATCAGGCAGGGATAAGGTAATCGCAAAATGGAAAACGTCATTTGTATCACAATTATGTACGTATCAGGAAACGCGATTTGAATGTGACGTCGGGAGCGATGAAGAAATTCGCGCGAACGAATCGTCGCTTATTCGAGCGACGCCGGCTCGGAAAGGATAATTTGAGTCGATCTGCATAATCCGGCTCTCTGTAATCCCGTTAAAGCGCCTAACCGTTTTCCCTCTCACCTTTTTTCTTTTCGTGATTTACGTCGCGAAGAAATTCGACGTGTCCAAGAACGCGTGGACCTCATTGCGACTGACAGGATAATTTGCTGGATCAACGACGAAGCGCTTTTCGTGTTACCGATGCCGTTTTATGCGTTTCGGTCGCGGCGCGTTCATTCTTTCGAGGAAAATCTCCATGACCGTGCGTGTCATTCAATGGAGATAACGCCGATGATGCCAATTGCTATTTCTAAGCATTACTGGTGTTGCTGGTATTTCACTCTTATCTAATATATGCGCGCATATTATTAAATCTGAAATCGCGTCTCTCAAGGCGGCAGAAAATTCAAATAAACTGATTGATTTCTTCTAAGTATTTTTTTTTTCATATTTGTCACTCATTCGTATCGTTTCACGCAATGTTACCGCTACTTGCGGTTTCGTTCCAGTGCGTCATCCAGTTTCACTGAACTAATATATTTTCAGATTCAAAGCATCTGAAGCGTACGAACGATTGTATTTAATATTTGCGCGGCGATCAAAAGAAATATATCCTTCAGGCAGTTATTTTTCTAATTCTTACGTTACGTAATTTCGCCCTGATGACGCGAACCGGTTGTACCGGTGCGTCCACATCGTTATCTCACGTCGCAATTCGGGAGGTTTATCCTGTTCCGTGTCTGTTCATTTTTTGCGAAAGTCGTTGTTGACGGGGTGCCAATTATGCGGCGAGTGTATCCCTAAAAACCGATTAAAATATTCCAGGCGCCGCGCCGTGTCGGCGGAGCCTTATCATCTTTAACAACACACCCGTCGATGATAGCGCGCATGGACGCCCCTTCATAATGATGCAAGATTATGTGACAGGGTCAATTGTACCGTCGTGTGCACTCTGCCGCTCGCAACAACGTCACAGACGCGTTCCAGCATGTTCGCGAATGGCCTACTCACCTTTTATTCATCCGTCTGCATAGTGTACTCAGAATTCCGGCGTGCAGATTTCACGGAAAGTTCCTGAGTCTTGGAAAGTTACCGTGTTAACGACATTAGTTCTCGGAAGAACACCGGCTTCGCGCGAAACGAAAATACGGACGTCTAGTTTCTATCGTATAAAGCGTTAGCGATAAATTTCTGATGAACTTGAAAAATGAATAATTCATTCAATTTAAGAATGAGTTTAGGTCGTTCTTACGCAAATGTGTAACGGAGCAATATTTTTTAATTCACCAGCATTGCATAATTTTCTGAATTTAAGTCGCATTTTAAACTTTCATTAACATAACTTGCTTGAAACTGCGTAAAAAAGATTTAATTATATTTTTATCATCCACTTATATCTTTCCGGAGTTTATATATTTACTCATCTGAATGTAAAATTGCTGCGCTAAATTTCATCGAATTAAAATTTCACGATATATAAATATTTTGCTGAAATGTTAATTCACTAATATTTTTAGATATATATGGTAGCCTCGAGAAATTTTATAACGCGATTTGAGAACTTGTTTTGTAAAGGTTCGCGCGAAAAAGTCAGTATGGCTATGCGACACCCAGAAATGTCACGTCGCATCACGACGTCACTCGCCGTGTCCGTCTCTCATTCATTGTGCTAACAACACAATCAAAATAGCATTACGCAGGGCCGCGCCGAGGTGTTCCGTTATCACACAAGTAGAATAATAATCCTTCCAGCTACAGGTTGTCTCAAAAGTTATAACCGAGGTTATAACGCAAATTTTTAAGGCAATAATCCGTTATTAAAATTAAAATCATAAATATCAATGCTGTCGGCCTAATAAACTCGGAAGATTAACGCCTTAGAAGAGAGACAAATGTAAAATTTGTGAAACTTTTTATATATAATTTATGTTTATAGAACAGATGTAATATTTTATCTTTTTATTATTCTGCGATTTTCAACGTAATGCAATTTTTTATTATTGTATAGATTATTTTATTACTTAAATATTGTTGGCCACTGTAAGATCTTAGAATAAATTTCTTAGAATGGAGTACATTATTATGCGTTTGTATCGAAAAAGACAGACTGAATTATTCCGTAATATTGTTAAAAAATGTCAAAATAACGCAGAATGTATGAAGAATTTCTACCGATACTTTTCCCATTTTACATGGAAAGTTCCAGGCTTTTGCGAAGATGATTTACTCCGAAGCTGTATAATTTTACGCTGCCTCTCAATTAAGTGCGGATGAATTAACGTACTACACCTGATACTTCCGCACGTATACCTATACTTTAATATTTAATATCCAATTCCCAACGTTGATGCACGCTGAGAACAAGTGCGGCGCGCAACAGCAGCCGGTACGTTTTTCAACGCGGATCGTCTTCCTGCTAGGTGAAATCGTTTGATTGCCGTCTTCCGCATTGGCACGCACTGTATGGCGCTCTTATATTGAAAACCGTTCGTCGTTAAAACCGCCGAAACGAACGTCTTCCGTTTCTCCACAATACACGTTATTTTCGGTTAACGTGTCTCTCGTGTTTTCCACGATTGACAATCTCACAATTTGCGATTGATCCCTAATCAATAAACAATTTTTCATTTATCGGTCGAACATACGGATAATAGTCTCCCGCGCGTCGAGCAGTTTTGCGAGCATAAATGTCTAAACGAGACGCGTGTCGGACATGTGTGATGGTTTCGATTGTGTTGCCGTCGTATTACAAGTCGCGACGGGATGTTTGAGCATCTCTTTACGGATTACATGCCTCGAGTACGCAAATGGGAGATGATGATGAGTTGCGCCGGTCGATTCAGTGGCTGCGCATAATTATCTCGCGTAGAGATGTTGCGTGATGGCGAGCACACACGATCTCTCGTTACACAGAGCCTCGTTCACGTGCGTTCCTTTCATAGATGTCACATTCGCCGTTGTACTCGCGCGGTTGTATCGAACTGTTATTGACACGAATGTCAGCGCACTCCCACGTCCTCGAGAGCACCCTCGTCTCCCTTCTAAAAATATCCTCTGTGGAACGCGCGAAGTGTTTTTTTTTAAATCAATATATCACATTGTAGAGGCATTAATCGACGCTGATTAGATATGATTCGCGAACGCCTGTTCGGAAACTTGTAACGGGTTACGCGTTATCTGGTGATTTATTACGCAAAAAAATTCGTTCGACGATATACGAGCGTTGTTATTCTTTCTTTCTCCTGGATCTTATCATATCGCTATTACGATAACAATGAAATCGTTCTTGCGCTTAGCATTCCAAAGCGTCTCGCACACGAGATAAGACCCTGCGATATCGCTCCTCTCTCTCACCTGTCTCCACCTCTTTCCGCCATATAAACCTGTTTACGTGGCGTATTAAAACGAATTTGCGTACATTCCGCACACCTGTACGCACGACGTTGTATCAAATACGTGATCTTCTTTCCTCGTTCTCTCGCTCTCTCTCCTTCGCATCTCTCCACGAATAGCATACTCTTGTCCTTTCTCTTCGCCGAGGCTCCTCCCGGTGAATGCCTTCGCTCGTGCCTCTTCTCACCGATGTCCCTGTCTCCCGATCTTCTTCCTCGTTATTTACGAGTTCTGTCATATTCTTCCGGTGAGCGCAACACGCACTCGTGCGTGCATGACTCTTGCGCCCGTGCGACGCGAGACGATTCGTGTCTTCGCCAATTCCCGTTGTTTACTCGCGATTCGCACACGTATCCAGAATAGGGAATCTATTATTGTCTCAGGCTTTCCTCCCGGTTTGAACTTGATTGGCGATTAAGGTTTAACGACACTCGAGAGAGCAGCGAGAAAGCGAGGGTGCCCGCAGTGGCGTGGACAACGGTTTGCTCTTTTCAAAAACGATTATATATACTTTCTATCTTGTATCTTTTTTTTCTCTCGCAAAGCGCCAATCGTTTCACGGTAAATATATTTCCCGTTGAAAGTATGAGCGATATAAAGTCACGTATATTAAATTTTATTGTTATTTATTATTTATGAAAGATCTACAATAATTTTTATTATTTTATTATAATTTATTATTAAAAGACGTTACTACTAAGCTCTAGAGATATAAAAACTAACTTGTGCGCATTGCCGCGTCTCTTCAAATTATAAGAGAAGGGAGAGGAGCACGGGGCTTTTCTCTCTTTACATTTACGCCTCTGGATGCACTTTTGTATTCAGCGTGAGTTCACGTGCACTCGTGTCCTCCGTTCGTTGCGGTTTCTTTGAGTACAGACGAGCGAGGGACCGAGGGAGGAAGCCAGGGTTTTATGCTGGTGATAAAGGGAGAAGGGGCAACACGGGGGACACCGTGGAGGAGAGACGCGTGAGCGAGGATGGAAAAGTAGAAGCGAAATGGCGCGGTAAGGTAGAAAAATCCCCGGAATGCAGTTACTTTCATTTACGGCCTAATCCTTAGGCTTCCCTCACAGAGTTCGCCGTTGTGCCGTTACTCGGACACGAAGTCCATTGTGTACATACGATCGCTGACGCTTTCTCGGGAGCCGTGTATCTTCCTTTTTTATCGCTATACTTTTTATCACTTGCCTGTAAAATTTGAGAGGACACTCGCTCGTATTTCTTCTAAATGTTTTGTTTATTTATCTCCAACAATAAGAGTCAGGTATGTGCTCGAAGCGATCTTTTAAAAAATTCTTCCTCTATTCTTCCTTAGATATGGAAGCTGGTGGACAGCAAGACGGGTTATCTTACGAGAAGCGGACTGTACAAGGGTCTCGCTCTCATCGCCTTCGCTCAACAAGGAAAGCAACCGAGCGACAAGCTACTGGAAAATTCCGAATCCCAAGGTTAGTCAAATTTAAATTACTACCCTCTTCGATTTGTTAACAGTTAAATAATTAGGCATGTAAGTTTCTAAATGAAGAATGTCAAAATGTTTAGTTAGGTGAGTACACTATTTTGTCAATGATCTGCCAAAAAGGTTTTATGAACGAGAATAGCCTTAAATAATATTTTATGAAACGAAAGCGTTTTTATCAAAAAGTATTTTTTTTTTTTTAACAAAGTAAAGGTTTTACTTGATTATTTTCGTCACAGTTTTGTGTAATAACATATTTTAAATAAGAAATTATCAAATCGCGCAAAGGCATCAAACTCGACGTCAAGCGCGGATAATTTAAGCATTCGCGTTGAACTCGCCTCGGTATTTTTTTTACAGCGGCTCTCTTACGGTATCTATTTTATCTCTTTTAGCTTAAGTAATTTGCTTCACAAACAAGAGAAGCTATATACACACACAAAAAGACTTCCGTGCCGTTAACACAGTCCGTATATAGATTGCGATGAAAGTAGGTCTTGAATAAGTCTATTATCGAACAGGTGTTTGGATAATGCGCGTATGTGCTTCGGCAAGATATCAAGAAACCTGTAGGCGTTATCGGAGTCGTTGACCAGCAAAATCATTGCCGTTTTGCTTATCGCTAGAAAGTTACATGTTGTCGCGACTCAAAGAAAATTGCGCTGCAACTTTGAAATATATTATTGTATTTACCATTTAGCTACGTAACGTGTATATTGTTTTTTTTTGTCTCTCAATTTACTTATCAATAATTGCTTATTTGTTAAAGAAATGATTTTTATCACTGTCCATACACTTGTTATGTGTAAATTAATATTACTTTTTTTTCGCATGTTCCTCTGTATCAATGTAATATTAGATTAATTCTCACTAACATTCGTCCCCCAACATTTAAAAAAGGATTGTTTTATAAGAATTAACGTTATCATAGATTAGATTTCTGCTGGAATCCGCGTATTCAGATCTTTCGAGGAATTCTTACATTTTTCACGCTCGACAAAAGATTATAATAACATAATAGCATGTAACGGCTTAGTGCGAAAATAACGTTGTGACCTTAATAACTTCTTGTTTTGAAGCCGCACGACGTGATCATTCTCATTATACAACGTTGAATTATAAATGCACGGAACGAAGACGGCTTTATGAAAGTCGAGTCGTGAATGGTAAAACTGTGGGAACAGAAGCGCGTAGTCAAGGTATCGCGAGGTCAGGAGACTCGTTCGTTATCGAGGTTGCGTCGACGATGATTATTTGCCATAATAACGCCACGAGATCTCGCTCGTCTCAGAATAATATCGGCGAAATAGAACACATCGGAAAGAATACGAAGAGAAAACGCGTTCTTCTTTTTTCTTTTTTGGACGATTGACGAATTCATTGCCGCAACTTCGTTTTTATTTGTCAGCCGAAATAGTAACGGAACCGCAAAAATAGACGGATCTGACTCGACGGTATCGAGGGCGAAAGAATTGTTGAATTACCGGATCTGGCGTTTTATTCTATTCGTGCACGACAATGACAGGAACAACGAAAGAAACTAGGACACTTGCAGTATTTAAAAAAGAGCATTTAAAACGAAATGAACAAATATATTGATAAGACGAAATACATGCTTCTGAAAGCGTATGCTTTTCGATTCGCTTTATATATTGAACTTTTGCTTAATTAAATCTTTAACGAATTTCATTTTCACAAAAAGCGCAATTAACGAGATGAACAAAGATATTAACAAGACAAAAAATAAATACTCCTGAGAAACTATGACTTTCGATTTATTTCATATATATCAAACTTTTGCTTTATTAAGTTACTTTTAATAAATTTTTCTTAAATTATAAGCATATAATTTAAGTAAATTATATTTCAATTATATATTTATCGTGAATTATGAAAATTAGGAAAAATTTGAAAAATACGCGGAGAGAATAATTTGAAAAAGGGGCTATGTCCTCGAAGCCCAGAAACGTTTCGTACTGTCGTACTGGAGAGGAGCTTAATTTGAATTTAATGTATGTCAATCAAATTCTATTGCTACTAAGTAATTGTACTGTCGTCTCCGCTAAATACGGCTGGTCAGCAGCTGTCAGAAAACACTGTGTGTCCTTTACTCGAGAGGATCCTCTTGATCGCAGAGTTACCCGTTCCCGCTCTGGGAGATCTGTCGGAAGTGACGCTTCTGGCGCAGAGGCTGCACCGGGGCAATCCCGCAAAGCTGAGTCACACTTACTCGGACATCTGTAATCTGGACACTATCGAGGTCAACCTCGTTCCCGAGAAGAAGGGCATTTTCCTGAAGCACGTGGAGTATCAAGTCACCAGCAAGGTATTACCGGAGCTCGCGTTTCCGTTCGTAGAAGCATGAAACGACGCAGCGCTATTATTTAGATTGCTTTAATAAAAGCTTATCTAGATTCCATCGTAGCGAATAAGAGAATTACACCGTAACGAAGAACGAGAGCTCATATGGATAAATTTCATATTTTTTCAGAGGTTCAATTCCGTGGTCTACAGGCGTTACAATGATTTCGTATCGTTATACGACCTCCTCCTAGCTCGGTTTCCCTACAGATTGATCCCCAAGTTACCACCGAAGAAAATCGTAGGAGGTAAACACGCATGCATATGCATACATAATTGTTAATCGAGAAGAGTTACATAATTTCGCAGTTAATTAGAAATTTATAAACAATCGTATGTATTATCAATTGTAACATTATCGCAATGCTATAACGTTACAATTGACAATGAACGAGAAATTCATTTTTTTTTCCATTTCGTCCCGTTGCAGCGGACTCACAATTTCTCGAAGAGAGGCGGCGCTCTCTCCTGCGGTTTCTCACGCTGATCGCTCGCCACCCGGTGGTAAGCGACGATCCGATCGTACAATTTTTCTTCACGTACACCGGCGACGAGACGCAGCACAAGATCCGCGAGGTATTCAGGCGCGTGCCCGATGAGTTTGCCACGTCCGAGCTGTCGTCGAGGGCGAAAGAGCTGATGCCGCCCGAGACGCTGACCGAGTTCGCGAACAGCCGCGATCAGATACGCGTGATACTCCTCGGGATCTCCCGGCTGAAGCACATCGCCGACAGCCTGGCGATCAGGTCGCATAATTACGCGGTGGATATGGCTGAGCTCGGCAATCAGCTGAGCACTTTGGCCGCGGAACAGCACGGCACCGGCACCTGGCTCACCGGCTGTTCCAGCCTTTGGCAAGACATGAAGAAGGGCTTTCACGTAATCTCGAAGTAAGGGTCCAATATCGATAAGGAAAGTGCGATTGAGATTTCGCATTGTTGCTGATACGTAATCATTGTTTTTTCTTCGCTCTAAGAATTAGGTATCGATAACGAAGATGCTTGAGATCTCACGTTGTCGCCGTGTGATACACGATACAATCGTTTCCTACATTCTCGGCTTTTATACTTTAGAGGAATTTAATTTTTAAGCTTTCGCGATTGCTCTTAAATATATGATAAACGGAAAATTTTAGAGAGTTCAACCTGCTGTCGACCAGAGCCCTTCAACAAGCGGTCAGAGAGGAGACCATGGTCTGCGAGAGGCTGAATCTCCTGCTCGACATTTTAGTCGCGCACAGGATGCTGTGCGAGAGACACGAGCGAGGCGTCAGCACCGATCATCAACGCGCCCTGTCTACGATGCTGTCTCTCAAGAAGCGGCAAATGCAAGGCGTTATTCGCGGCACCGACGTACGTGCCTACTTAAGATTTATTAGCCAGTAAACCATGACTCTCCCGCGCTCATCGCGCAGGCTATAATCGACGCGGTAATGTAACCGGCAATCGCGTTGTCGCAATTGTATAATTACTCGTTGAGTTTGAGGCAGTATAATCTGAGAAATCGCGGAGACTCGCCGTTATAAAGAGTAAGCGTAACTTCCTGCGGCCTTACGCAATCCGTCATAGTTTGCGAACACGCGGCGCACGCACGCTCATTTCGAGAAGAGTGCACGCGATTTTATCGTATACATATATATATGTCCAGGCCGACACCGTCGAGTACCTCGAGAATAAGATGGTCTCCCAGGAATCCGTGATCGCCAACGTCGAACTGAGGAACTGTTTCTCGCTGCTCTGCCTGCACATGGAGACCCAGCTCGTTCACGCGCATCTAGAGATACTCGCCACCGTGCTGCAGAGTCTCGTGAGCGTGCAGATTCGCGGGCATTCCGAGGTAAATATCCACCAGTCGTTGACAACTCAAATATTATATTATTTGCTGATTAACAAGTGTGTTCATTTTGCAAACGAACCGAAGAGGTCTCGGTGAGTTGTTATATAATATTTTTTAATATTTATATCCGAGCGCTTTCTTCTTTATTTTCTTTTTATACAGCTCCACTGTGTTTATTGCGCTGTATTGTTTCCAGCTACATACGTGTTAAGCAAATATCTTTAGTATCAGAGCACACATACACATACATTATCGGATTTGCGATGGAAATTGCTGATGCAAACGTTTGTTTACAGTTGGCTGAAGTGTGGAAGCTAATCGAACCGACGATTACAAAGTGTTTGCCCGAGAAGTTAGCAAGCGGGTCCAATGGAGGATAGCACCGGAGTAGCAAAGTTTCGTATATGCCCAGACAGATCATAGCGTTGCCAAATAATTGATAACCGAAACTTGTATAATACACAATTCCCGGTAAACATGACAATACGGTGGTCGAAGACAGGAAGAAGAAAGACGTGCAAAATCTCGAGTCGTTCCACATTAACTACATAGATTCTATATTTATCTACATATAGATTCTATATCTGTCTGATTATATAGATTCACTTGCAACATTTGTATATTCTTTGATTATCAAATGATTAAAATATCACGTATGATATTTAACCGGAGATATTCATCTTTTATTATATGATGATAAGAATCTCGAATATGTATAGCGCGTTCAAGTTTTAAACATTCCCTGTTGTGTACTTAATATATTTTATGGACCAGCGAACGATATTTCTAATTCCCTAATAATTGTTAAATCGCTATGTACATAAGAATTTATAGGTTGTATATACGCGTGTCGTATCGATGCGTGAAGAGTGCCTAAGCGATTGTAAATATATACATATATAACTCGAATATTTTTCAAGAGAATTTATAATTCATTTCGTGTGTACACGTGAACAATCTGAGAAGTTTTTATGTGTGCCACGTTGATCGTGGATACTCTCCATGCATTACGTATATTAGACTGTCTCGGGATTATCGTTATTTCAGTGATTCGAATGAATTTTATTTTAAGGTAAATGTACCTATGTCTGGACATTTTTATCATTTTAGTCTTTAAATAAGTTATAACACGAATTAAAATCATAGAATCAAAGATAAACATATTTTTCTTGTATTATATTTTTATCTTTGATTTTAATTCGAGATATACTTATTTAAAAATTAAAATGATAAAGGTATCCAGACATAGGTCTTAAGTGTCCCGGCATTGGTACATTTACCTTAATTTACGTTTATGATCTAATTACCGAGACATTTGACATAAAAATTCTGAAGTCCAATGTCCAATCAAGTTTTCTAAAAAAGGAGAACTTAAAGTTATCAAGTATTCATAAATCGATGATAGTTCCGAGACGTCTTGCATGATACATGTTTATAACATAACGGTGATGAAATATATTGTTATTATAAAAACACGTTTTTATTTTTCTTCTATAAATAAAAATCTATAGATCAAATTTTAGCGCAGTGATTATCTCGACGAATATTTCATATGTAAATATTTATTGGCGGCAAAAGATCGGAAGTAATGCGCTTGTTATCGACGAAGTCATGTTATCATAGCGGTGCTTTATAATAATACATTCATATTACCCAAAATGCTGAAGGCAAACAGTATATTTTTCCATAGTTTATTTATACGAATACGAGATTGCCACAACGTTAACATGGCTTGAATTCAAAACAGCGGATTTGCGAGGTGCGTTTCGTTTTCGGAGGTAACGTAGCCCGCCACAGCGGCTTGAAGCGCAACGTCACAGATGTCGGCACGAGGATCTCATCTCAAGATTTCGGTGAACATTATTTAAAGATTTCGATGAATGCGCATTTTATATTAATTGATGGGCTTGATCTCATATAAAATCTTACAATTAAAGAAAAAAGCCAGCATAAAATTTCATGCAATTTTACTCGACGTAGGACGTAACTCTTGTTCTTCGCGTTCGTTTTATATTACGGGAGGTCACGTGTTACGTTAAGGCACCGCGAAACGTTAATTATTGCTAGATCGTCAGAGTGGCAATTTGTAAGGACTGACGACACACGGAACTAGCGGCGCCGTTCCTCGTAAACGGGCCCGACCGAATGAGTCGTATCCGCATGCACATCAATTCGAAATAAGGTCCTTAAAAGCTTCATCGAGCATCCTCGCTCGTTGTCTAGCGCGACGCACAGCGGCCGTGTAATGCTCTTTGAACGTCCAGCATTTTAGATTAAAGGCGGTTAACCGACCCTTTCTCTTCCACGTATACCGGACCGTCGAGAGAATAACGTGTTCGAGTTTCATCCGGGTGGAAGTAACGTTCGTCCCCGACATTTCTTCGCGAAACGACTTGTGTGTCAGAGGCTTCGCGTAACACAAGTTGATTCACATCGAACGGATATCCAAGCACCTCGAATTGTCTCCCACAAAAAAAAAACAATAAAAGATGCGTCGAATTAAAATATTTCCTTACAAGCAGCCTTGTAAATTCTTTTTTCCCTTTATAATAGATATATGTTTAAAATTCCAAAATTATGTAACACGAATAAAATTAATATCATATTACATAACGACGATTTGTGTAATTCTTTGATAGTATAACTCTATTTACCCACAAAATATTCGCCGAGCGTAATTACCAAATCTTTTTTCCCTTCAAGATAAAAGCATCTGTTTAAAATTTCAAAATGACACGACGTTAATAAATAATTAATATTATTATATACCGACGATCCGTGTAATATTTCAATATTAACTCTATTAGTCCGCAAAAATCACTCGTTTTGACAGAACGTAATTAGCGTTGCGATTCGACATTGATTGGCAGCCGCAACGCGATCCTCGACCGGTTCTCCGTCGCGCTCAGAAAAACCCTCCGACCGTCGCGGGAGAGCTCTTCCCGTCGCACTTGAATCAACATCATCAGATAACGTTCCGTCCTCGGCAAGCAATTGAGAATTCGAGAGTAAACGAGTTCCCTTTCCCCGTGCGAGCGTTCGCGTCGTCGCCGATGAGGAATTGTCGAGAGCGGAAGGGTAGGTACGCGCGCATGGATAGAAAGGACGGGCTACTGAACATTGCAGAGGCAATTTTCCCCGACAATACCTGGGCTACTTTGTTTCGGTCCCCCGTGCGTGCGTGCTTTGTGAATCACGCGTGACTCGGATGCATTCCGTTTCTTCCGCCGGCGCCGAAGGAGTTCCGGCGACGGAAGAGCGCCGGCGCATCGCGCGGCGCAGATTTCAGGAAGAACGAAGGAGGAACGCGGAGGAACCGTGGTGAAACGCGACGCGTTAATTAGATGCCTTAGGCCATACCGACTAATTCGCTTCCTTTGTGCGCTCCAAGTGCTCCACCGTTCTCGACGACGCTGTCTGTCCACATTACTCCTCGCCCTACTCCCCCGTGTGCGCGTCGCTTTTAATTCGGCTGCCTAAACAGAATACTCTTTCCGAAGATCCCGGAGAGGGTAGCCCTGTCATTTTTGTTTGGCGACTCGCGTCTGCTTGGATTTTATTATCCTGCCCCGCGCGGAAACGCATGCTAGATTAAAAATTAAAATTTCATTAGAAATATAGCCGCATTCGAGCTCTGTGCACATGTCGTAACCGATCCTCGTTCTTACTAATCTATTTATCCTCATATCGTTATTCCAGTTTGTGGACAAAGCGACATGGATATGAAATGTTAACAACAATTCTGCTTGTTCTGTCTCTAATTATAAATGTTTATTCCCCTTTCTAATTATGATAGTTGTTTTCCTTGACAGTTTCATACATGAAAAATATAGAAACATATAAGCATTAAATGTGACAATGCATTTTTCTAAATTGTGACAGAATAAAATGGAATTTTGCAACTGACGTAGATGCGTTACGTGCCGCGACGCGGCACAAAATTGTCAAAAAAGCGTTTTGTAATTAAAAGAGTAAAATTTTCTTCTAAAAACCATCTTTTCTCCGCTCGTCTCTCAGTTGCGTTTTTTGCGTTTTAAAAAGCGACTTCTGCGGTTCCGACTATACTCGCTGAATTACAGACTCGCGCGCTGTGATGCTACACCGAAATGCAACAAGATATAGAATCGTCTCGTTATCTATGACCGGCCAGGCAAGTGCGGCTCGTTAAGAGGATTCTCTTTGACGAGCTCTTTTTTTTTTCTCTCTCGCTGCTCCTACTCGCGCATCTCGTTTGCAGGATTTCACGCTGTTGCATAAGGAGATGATACGATTAAAGTTGCGCATTTACAATTGGGCGTATGTACGTAGCGCGAGGAAGAGCGCAATTAGATGTAAGCCTGTTTATCCGGAACAGAGAGATGTTTTGTCTGTTGAAAACGGTAACATTACGGTTGTCGGCACGCGCACGATTAAACTCGATCAGAATTCTCTATTCGTTGAAATTGACTTAGCAGGTTTCTTGCTTCCGGTGGAACGGGGTGGAACGGGGACGGTGGATGAAATCGCGTTAACGCGGCACAATGGTTGTTCCACTCGCGCGATTAGGCGCGACTTGTTGTCAACCGAATACCATCAACTCCAATTCGATAAATTTCCTTTCTCCATTCGGGGCGAATCGACGGGCGTTAAATAAAGTTTGCAAATTGAGATTGCCGGCGCGATAACGGCCGCGGAAAAATTAGCTTAATCCCGTGCGGCCATATTCGACAACGAATTCCGTAATCGAGGCTCCGACTCGAAGGAAACTCACGCGCGTCAAAGTACCGCGGATACGCGCCGCGGATAAGTCGCGTATCCATTCGTTTCATTTTGCCGGATTTTACGGACGGACGAATCGGCAACGACGGCAGAATTTTGCTGGCTGCACTCTCGTATACTTTCGTATATTGCGCGCGTGAAATTTGCTGGCGAGAGTCACGACGATGGCTAGCGCGTTGGGAAAGAGCGGCTGTGGAGGTTTTGCAAAACGGTGAGCGATAATTTAAGCCGAATTTGCTTGTCACAGAGATTCGAAGAGAGATAGAGAGAGAGAGAGAGAGCGGATTGCATAAGCAATGGTTACATTCGACAAAGACAATTATAAAATCATTGGATTTGATTCTTCATATCCGATCGTCAGCTCGCGAATTTCCTGATTTAACGTGCTTTATATTGTCGCAATAATAACTATTCGTATGCTTTGTGTTGGCAACGAAAGAAATCCTAATCGATTGCTATCTCATCGAATAAATCACTCGGAATAATCGACAAGAGAGAGAAATGCTGAGTCAGGACATCTTTTACATCATTCGTTATACGATAATCTCATGCAATACTTAAGTATGAAAAAGCTTTGCTTCGAGTATTAAGAGTCTAACAAGATTTATGTAGAATTGTAGATTATAATATGGGGTACCTATTATACGTTATATGCGCAGCAATTAATGCAATTATTTATATTAGCCCGCGGATAGCTATGGATTCCATAATCCATCTCATATGTCTTCATTTCGAAATGTTTAAACGATATCTCTAACAGTATTAATATCGCGGTGGAATATCTGCGTTGAATAAATTCATCCCCGACAATGTGTCCGAACGAAGAACGCTCGTTTCATGCAGCTCGCGTATAATTCGTCCGGAATGATCGTCAGGGGCGAAGCGTGCGAAATTCATCTTTTGGGAGAGGGTCCGGTGAAGGTCCGCGAAAGGAGAGAAGAAAGAGAGGGAGGGTTATGCTCTTTTGCCAGAGCTCTGACGATCCCCCCGCCCGGTTTTACATTCGGTGCACCGGATTTTTATTGTCGACCTGTTTCACCGGAAGGATGTCGCTGCCTCCGGAGGATTTAAAGCGCTATCCTGGCATTCTCTATTCTGTGTTGCGCCGCGGGAATAAACCCCGCTGGCCGCGTCGCTCGTGAAATCGGTTT